ATCCAATTTAAATTAAAATCACCAACCATAATAATTTCACAATTACTCTGTGAGGATGCACCAGGGACTTGCCCCTTGAGAAAGAAAATGTCAAGGACTGCAGGAGAGGCACCAGGGGCACGGGGGAGCGAGGAGCAGCCCTCGGCCGCCCGCCTGGGTCACTGTGAGCACAGGGACAGGGACGGGGACGGATGCTCAAGCAGCTGGGGGACATTGCTGGCTCCACAGGTGACACCAAATTGGAAGCTCCTTCCCACCCCAGCACCAAAACACAGCACCTCACGTCCCCCCAGCCCCAGCCCACCATCCTGCAGGGTGCATCCAGCCTACCAGAGGGACTCGGCCAATATTTATATCGAGGGAGCAGAGGAGTGTGAGAGGGGAGCCCGGTCCTGTAGATCAATTTGTAATTTTTCTTTTTTGCTGTGGCAGGAGTGTGAGGGATGCGAACATTAAATCTCCAGGAAAGTCGCCTCTGCAGCAGTCTTTAGTGGTCTGAATTATTTATTTGTGTACAGTTGTGCTACACACCGAGCCGTACAAAAATAAATAAGACCACAGCAGGCTGCGCCTGGAATGGAGTGGTTGTGTGCTTGGGTGCAGGTCTCCTCGGGACGGCTCTCATCCTGCACACCAGCAGGATGCAAGCAGGAGGGCCGGGTGCTAGGGACTAAAAGAAGCTTCTTATTCTGCTTTCTGTCACATCCTCGGCCTCCTCTCGCATACGGCAGGTAATTAACGATCCATTCACATGGCAAGTGGCGGGTGAGGCAACTCTGGCGGATTAATAATTTAATATTCTTACAGAACTCCATACCTGTGCAAAACACCTGGATGCATTCCTTGCAAACTCCCTTCCGAGCCACTGGCCCGGCAGGGAAGGCTTCCCAGGGGTTTCTGTGCACGGCCACCGCACACGTCCTGCTCGGCGCGGGGAGCGCTGGCAGCGGGCGGCTGCTCAGTGCAGCCCTGGGAGCGCGCTGGCTGCTGCATCCATCTGCACAGCTGCTGCTCTGCCAGGCTCTAACTCGATTGCTTTGTAATGTACTTCTCTGCTGCGGTGTGCACGCAGGCAGAGCTGCGTGAAGCCTGGGCGGTGCCGGTGCATTCCGTGTTGTGCACGAGGTGCTCGCAGCCTGCAGGAGCTGGATGGAGGCGGCGCAAAGCTGAGGGACTCGGCTCTGGAGGGGAATGTGTGGTGGCCTCATGGGTCAGGGCAGAGTGAAATTCCAGAGGTTTCCCAGCATGGAAACTGGGAAATAAATGGCTGGCGTGCTTGCTCAAAAGGGAGAAACAATTCACATTGAATAGCATGGGGGAGAGCACACCAGCCTGGGGAGCAGGAGCCCCTGGGGTCTGCAGCCACCAGCCCCTCCCCAGTGCAGCCAGCTGGGCTGCGGCACCGCTGCCGGGCTCTGCTTTTATTCCCCTGGCACCTCCCAAAAATACCGGGCTCGGGGACACTTTGCCTCCCATGTGTCTTGGTCAAAACTTTGTAAGGGCTGTCCTAATAAATAATAGAGCATCTTCCTTCCCTCGCTGTTGTGAAAGAGCTCCTGCCTGACGTGGGAGAAACCTTTTGATGCATTTTGATAAAAGAGCCAGGCAGTGGTGAGTGAAAGCCAGGAGACATTTATTTAATGCCGCCAACACAAAGGTCCCGGCGCTGACGCCCGCTGCAGAGCGATTGTGCCCACTCCTGAGCTGACGTCTCCGCCTCACCTCACCCAGGCTCAGGGAATTGGGGCTGTGCTGGGGCCATGTGCGGGTGGGAGGAAGGTCTGGGGGCTGTGGAAGGTCAAACACCAGCCCCAGCTCTCCAGAGGTTTGCGGGGTCAGCCAGCAGCCCCAGCTCTTGGGGTTTTGGGGTGTTACCAGAGCCCTGCCCCGAGCTGGGTGCTGGCATCAGGGTGCGCGGAGCAGTAACTGGAGATGTCCGTGGAAGCAGGGCTTTGTTCGTTCGGTTTTCATCTGCTGGAAGGAAATGATTTTGTTAGGTTAACACTGCAATTATCTCTCCAGAAAGCCTTCACCATCTAAAGATGCTTCTGGAAGAGGCACCCAGCTGAACCAATGAATCGTGCCAAATTCTAAACGAGCACCGTCCCGCCGGCCTCCTGGGGGCTGCGAGCTGAGCCCTGGGTGTCCCTGCTGCCAGAAGCCCAACTGGCCAGGGGGACCAGGCAGGGCTGTCCTGAGCAGAGAGGCTGTCCTGGGGGTTAGTGAGGCTGAAACAGCTCTGCCACGTGTCCCTGAATGCACGCAGACAGACAGACGGACAGGCCGTGCCCCTGCGCACTGAGCGCTGCCTGCTGCGTTGCTGCCGTCTCCCTGGGGCGTTTTGTCCCCCCCGAGCTCCCCTCGGTGATGCTCACACACACACACAGCGGGCTCAGCACAAACACAGCGCTGCGCCTAGCCCAGAAATCTTGGTGTTTTCCTCCTGGAAAGCAAAAAGGAGAAGAGAGGACGGCACGTGGCTCACGTAACAGATGGAGCCATGGATTATTTGGAGCCTCTTGTACTAATTTTACAAATGCTGCATGTCTGCAGGCTTTTAATAGTTGAATTCCTGGCTAAATGGATAAAGAATATGTCCTGTGGGGACTAAAGGCTTTGGGGAATAACTTATGCAAATCCTCCCATCTGAACGCAGGTGGTGACGAGTTTGCTGCAGTTTCTCTCGTGGTGATGGTGGCAAAGATGCAGGCTTGGGTGGCGTGAGCCAAAAAGCCCCAAGAGGACAGAATCATGAAGCTTGCTTGGCCCCGGGTGAGCGTGCCTGGTACTTTGGAGGTACTGAGGCCACGAGGAGATGAGAGCCATTGCCTGGGAAGATGTGAAGGGGCAGGGTACTCGTGGCTCTTTGGGAAGCTCTGCGAGCCCCGTTCAGGGAGGAGGCCGCCTGCTGCCCACTCATCCCTGCCTCGAGGGCCCTTTGGGATGCGAATCCTCTGGTTTTATCCCTGCTTTAGCTCCAGCTGAGAGGCAGAACCCAGGCAGAGTCGCAGCCCGGTTGGGCAGCACGAGCTGAGGTGTTGAGAGGTGCATTATGAATGCAAGGTGTAGGGAACAGAAATTATTAAACTCACAGATAGCAACAGAGCTCCCTTTGTGAGCGGTGGAGATGGGAAATTATGCTGAAGCAATGCATTGCAAATCACCCAATGAAAGGCAGAGAAGGCCCTTTTATCCTCCAGGCCCTGAAGTTTTTCCGGTATCTTTGTATGCAGAGGCATTCCTTCAGGGGAGAAAGAGAAGCCAGCAATTTTGTGGCTGATTGGCAGGCTGTCCAGTGCCAATAAAGATATTTGTTTTTTCATAGAAGTGCTCACAGACTGAAATCTCACTCTTGCATTTTCCATTACAGAGGAAAATGAAACTTGGAATGCTTTCTCCATTAGCGCTGCTTAGCCTCGGAGTAATAGCAGTGCTTGAGTGACTTGAAAGGAGAAACACTCCGCTCCGGCAAAGCGCCTGGCGCCGACATGCCGCGCGGAGCGTGCCTCACCTCGCCGGGAGCTGGGCGCAGCAGAACCCCCGTTATTTGTATTTCTGAGTCCCAGGAGCACCAGGAGGCTTCAGGGCGAGGCAGGGGGGGCCGGTGCCAGGCTGAGGGATGAGGGTGTGAGGAAGGCGTGGTGCTCACCGTGCTGCATCTGATGCATCCAAGGTGGCTTTGGTGACCTGCTCGGTGAGGCACCAAAGGTGGCAGCAGCGCTGGGACGGGAGCTCCTGCTGCAGAGGGGATCTCCGACTGCCAGGGGATGTGGAGAGGGATGGAGGCAGTCCTGCTGGGCAGCACAGCCCAGGGACAAGAGGTGGTCCCCCGGATCCCCACCGGTCCCTGTCCCTGTGGGTCCCAGCGTCCCCCCAGTGCCCGGGGCTGGGTCCCCTCCCTGCTCCCTCCAGGCCCTGCACTGCCTCCGTGCTCGTGCAGATCCCCAGCAGAGAGGAAGAACATCTGTTAACACAAATGCCTTCCTAATTTCTTCTTAACTCTCACTCGGCATCTGCGCCGAACAAGCCCCGTTCAGCTTGTACAGTGTTTATTTCTGGAACGGGCTCAAAAGCGCCGCGGAGCCGGGAGCAGGGAGGGAAGAGCCGCTAAATCTTTAATAACACGCCGAGTCAGAACTTCTGCCACGCTCCGTCCTAATCACACGGGGGAGAATAACCAGAGACAGGATTTCTTAATAACAAACACCTTTGCAGCAGCTCATTAAATCACTGCATTTCTGAGGCACAGCAGGACACTTGTGTGAATAAATAGTGCAATCTCCTAGTCTGAAGTATTTTCACATCTGAGTTATTTCCCCTGCATATGATCAGCTCCTTCCTTTTTTTTTTTTTTTCTTTCCTTTGCTCCCCATCTCTACAGCGAATGATTTTCGCTGATGAGCACAATTAACAAATGAGAGACAAAGTCGAAAAAACACATCCCCCCCCCCGGTTCTTTCTTTAATGTTGTACAGTTTAACAAATAGCGGAGGAAAATGGAGTGAAGAGAGATTGCTGCTGATGATCTGAAGGCGCAGCTTTTTTCTCCTTTTTGCTGCCTGCCTTTGTAGACAGCAAAATGCAAAAAAAAAAAAAGAAAAAAAAAAAAGGAGAGAGAAAAGAGGGTGGCAATATAAAAGGAAGGAAAGAAAGACCCTCTTCAGGGTGTTTATCCAAGCAGCATGTTTGCTCATTTCCTATCCTAGCTCATGCATAACGCCAATGAGATGGAAAGGGCCTGTTTTGCTCCAGAGGTGCCGACGAGCTGGGAGACACGCCACACAATTGACTGCAGTGAAATAAATCGAGCAAAAGGTTTCCTTCCACCACCCCCAGCTCTGCAGGGTTCACAGGAGGGAGCAAATGCATCCGTCAGTGGCAGGCTCCACAGGTGCAGATATTTTAACGGGTGAGGGGTGTTCCCACAACCTGGTTCAACCCATCCAAGAGGGATTTTCCTCCTCACAGACGTCTTCCTCCCTTGCTGGGGTGATGCCCAGGGGAAGGGCAGGGTGGTGGGCAGGGGGAGGTGAGAAAGGGGGCATCAGGGCCCTGCTTCTCTCATTTGGGAGCTGGCAATTGCCAGGGCTCCTGTCCTGGGCAGGGAGATGCAGAGCGAGCCTCCCCACTCGGCAGCACAAGAAGCAGGGCCGAGCACTCACTGGCGGCAGAGGCTGATGGGGGCTGCAAGCAAATAAGGGCTGTGAGCAGGGTTTAATAGCACAATTGATTTACTTTTATAAATGCTGCAGTCGAATGCACGTCAGAAAGTGTTGTCTGGGCGATTTCTAGCGATTGATGAGCCTCGCCACCCTGATGGCATAGCTCTCACCGCGGTGTGGGCTGGAGGCAGGGCTGGGGGTGCTGGCACGTCGCCCCTCGTTGTACCCTGGGGGCCCTGGCTGCTTTCCTGGTGCCTCCCGATGGGGTGCTGGGGGGCTCGATGCTGGGGGGGTCTGGGGGCTGCTGCCCTGCGAGCCCTCTGCACCCCAAGCCAGCTTCTGGCAGTGGCTCACCGCTCGCCTTCCCCTGGCTCTTGCTCCTCACCTCCACCACCCTGCTGCCCAGGGCTCTGGCTGCTGCTTTGATGTGTGATTTCGGGGGAGGACTTTGTGTTGTTTTTTTTTTTTTTAATAAAACAGAATGTCCCTTTTTTTCCCTCCCCCCTCTGAATGGCCAGGGTGAGGTAATGCGTGGGAGACGTGAACTTCAGCAGAGCAGTGCCATGAAGCCCCCAGTAGCACTTATCCAGTAGTGCAGTTCTCTGAGGACTCCGATAACACCACCAAAATTCCCAGCCCAGAGCACTCCATCACCTATGGGACCCCAGCCCATGCAGTGCGTGGGGACACCACCACGTGCCTGAATTTATACCTGTCCACGAGACGCTTTCTATGAACGTTTTCCAGCATGGTCTAATTACAAGGTAAATAAACGGGCCCTCCCTTATAGTTAATTTGTTAGGTAGCTTTATTGCCAACAGGAGAGAGATGACACAGAAGGATATTGCATACAGTGTTGCTGGTAATTATTTTTATTACTTCATATGAGTTTTATAGTGCTAGTAGGGAGAGTTTTGAGCCGCCGCTTTCCGCTTGGTGTAATTAATGTTTTCTGGGACAGCCCAGCACAGCCGAGGTGGGGCCAGGGGCGTTATGGCACGTGGGGTCTGCCTGCGGGGCTGTGCTGGGCATCCCAGGAACACGCTGAGATACACGAGTGCCTCTGCCCCGTGCCCTGCTGCCTTTCTCTGCAACGTTTTGGTGAAGGGCATCGCTCAAGCACCAGGTGGAGGCGCCTTTGCTTCTGGATTTGTTTTGTTTCCTCCCACTGAGCAAAGTGTCTGTTTTAACAGCAAACTACCGGCATAAGCAAAGAAATCCTCGGCACTCTGAAGAGTATTAAGGTATATAAATGTCTTTATGAAAGATGATGAATTCCTGTAGTCTTCTCTAGTGAATTTTGCCTCTGTAAATCTCACTCTCTCTTTGCATGTGCTAATTGGTCTTAGCATTAATTAATCTGATTTCATTATATTCTCTTTAATTTGTCAAGATATCATTTCTTTATTGGGCAAAGAAACACTTTAGAGGATTGTCACAATTGGAATAATTTCCCCCCTCCCTTTCTTTAAAGTTACCAAGAGAAGTCGTTATCAATTAAGCTAATTTGCATAAGCATTAGGGTAATCGTTTTAGTTTAGCCAAATTTGTGAAAATTTACATAGCAAATTGACCTTCCACATTTTCACTTAAACATATAAAGCGCAAGAGAGAATTGTGTTGGCATTGATAATGAAATGGAGTTTATTTTGCATGGTTCTCTTACTAAAAGAGGCCTAATTAGACCAAGTAATTTTTTATTTCATCCGTAATTGCAAAACAAATAAGCTCTTTGGCAGTTTCTTCCCTTTCCCTTTGCCTGTGTCACATGGATGGGGAGCGCTAATAGGGAAGTTGTGTTCTCCTAATTAAGCCTCATTTGATGTCTGCGCGTTCTTCCATCAGAGATCCTTTAGTTTCTTCCAGGTATTCTCCTGCTTGAGTCGTTCAAGCTTCCTGGATCACCTATTAATAGACCGAGCACTGGTGGAATGAAGGAAATGTGGAAATGCCCCCGACGTGGGCAGGTGGAGATGGAGTTTGCAGTTTTGCTCTGAGGGCAGGGGGCTGCTGGTGCCTGAGGGTCTGGGCAATGCCTGGGCTTGGGGACCCCAGCCCCGCAGTGGGTCAGAGCCCAGGCACAGCCCTCACCGTGGTGCTCTCTCTGTCTTTCCTCACCCCTAGCATCATCTGCTGTGCCCAAGCAAAGGCATTTGTGTTTCCTCCCTGCCTTGTCCCCGCCTCGCCCATGTGTAAAGGGCAGCCCGAGGTGCCAGGCAGTGGAAAATCAGCCTCTCAGGTTGTTAACTGCGCAGAATGCCTTCCCCCCACCACCATATTTTTTTGGCCTTGAGTGTTTTTAACGGCAGCCTTCATGGTTTGATGGAGGATTTTACACTAATGCAAGGCATTACCTAGTTAATTTGGCCAGAATAGAGTGTAATTTTGCACGGTCAAAGTCATTGCTACTTGAGCTAAAAGTTCCATTACGGTGCACTGCCCACCTAGCTATTTCAGAGCACGCAGAGATAAGTAGCATTTTATTAATGGGTGTCCTCGGGAGCTTATTTAAAGGATAGCTCCTCGTCTGCATTGGAGATGAACATGGGAAAGAGCCGAGGCAGCGAGGGATGCTGGCAGCAGCCATCGGACGTGTCACCCCTGCGGCACGTGGCCGGCCACTGCGCAGGCTGTGTTCTTCCTGCAGGCGATGCTTCAGCCCACACGGGGCACCTTCACCTGCCTCATTTCAGCATGGGATAAAACAACGTGCACGGTTCAGACCTCAAACACGTTTCTGAAGGGGCAGCAAGGCCACCAGGGTGATGGTCTGGCTGTTTCCAGCACGGCTCCCCAGGACACCCGGTCCCAGCAGGGATCTGGTTGCGCAAGGACATTATTATGCCAAGCACTGAATAAACACAGAACAAAAAGTTGGCTCCTCCGCCTGTAAATAATAAATGATCCTCTTTGATCACCCGTGTTGGCTGAGGGCTCCCCAGCCTCACAAAGCTGGGACTTGGAAGGAGCGGCGCTCAGGGGAAGGTTGCCCTTTCCCTACAGGCACCCAAAACACCAGAGCTGAGCAGGGGCTGCAGGTCAGGACTGGCCAGGACACCGACTCCTTGGAGCCTCCAAGGCATGGGGTTTTGCTGTAAGGCCGGTCCTTTGCTTTTGTCTTTTCCTTCTCTGCCAAGCCCAGTGCAAAGTCGCTGCCTGCTTGCTCAGCCCTGCCCCTCTCCACCTCGCCGCAGCTACTGCTTGTGAGATAAATCCCTCTAATGTGGCTGTTGTTTGTTTTTGAAATTCTTCTGTATTTCTTCCTGCCATCCCGCTGCAGAGCAGCGTACGCAACAAAGTAAACCAACCTTGCACAAATTGTCCTGATTCCTGCCTTGCGAGTGGAGACAGCTGTGACTGATTCCAGCAAAATACCTCGCGTCTGGTCTACAAAGCCCGAGCTAATCTCCACGCCGAACCAAAGCGGGTCCTTCCTCATCACATGCTCGTGCTGCCAGAGCAGGGAACGTGGATAATACTTTGGAGCCACTACAAACGCTTCGGAAAAGACTCTGCCATGGTAGCAAACAGCTGGTGCAGCTAATCCATTTTCCAAGCACATTTGCAAGATGCATAATTAAGAGTTCTGTTGAGGGGGGAAGCAAAGCAGACCATTAGATTTGTTTATAACATTATGGATAGTGTAATACCCACTCAGGACCTCCTTTTCAGCAAAAGACATTAAGGTGATCCTTAGGAAACGTCTCTGGGATTTCCTGATGATGCCTGCGTGACATTAATTTTGAGTAAATATTTGCAATTCCATTTGCCGTACAATTAAGCACAACGAAGGGATCCTGCAGATTTTTTGGACTTGTTAATTGCTAGATCAGTTCAGATGATGATCCCTTTTAGTTCTCTCCTCCAATTTCCATTGTCTCCATTTAAAATTTCTGTTGTGTTACAATGAGGGAAAGCCAAGGTGTGCACGTTCAGCCCCGCAAAGCCCCGCGGAGCTCAGCGGCACTTTTCCAGCGAACACCGCCTGAAGATCTGCCCTAAAGCTGTCCGGTGCTGCAATGACAGCAGTACGGCTCGGGGCTCAAAGCCAAAGGCTGCTGTCGGCCACGCTGGTGTGTGTTCAGGATGGATCATTGGGCTGAGGGAGGCTCAGGGTGTCCCCAGTGTCCCCAGCTAAGGCACCAGCCACGAGCTGTGCAGCCCAGCCCGCCTGGTGGCACCCCAAGAAACCAGTAGCAAAGACCCAAACTGGGATGGCTTGAGGAAGGAGAGGACGAGCAAATTCCTTCAGCCCCAGGCAGCTGCCTCAATTTCGGGTTGGCAGGGGCAGTGATGAGCACACTGACGAGCTGTGCACGTGTTGCACACCCATTAACTCCTTGCTAATGAGCAATGTGGGCTTGGTGCAGCAGCGGCGTGGCTCTGCTGCACGTGGCAGAGCCTTTGCAGAGCTGCTCTCTCCACAAACTCTTGCTTCCAAAGCAAACAAATAACTAGTGACCTGGCTGAACGCAGCCCTGCCTTGGCCTGTGCCCAAACCAGCGTTTTTGTTTAAACATAACTGTGTTTAGGGCATCTGCTTCAACACAGCACCGCTGGCTGGGGCTGGAAAGGAAGCTGCGCAAGGGTAGAGCAAGCCTGCTATAAAATGCTCATTTCTGCTTTAAAAAAAAAAACACACCTCACCGTGGTCTTTAATTTGTCTTTAAGACCCATCTAGGATGAAAACAAGGAGGTCTGCTGGGACTCCTCCCACGGCAGGTGGGAAGAATAATTTGCCTGGGGGGAAATTGGAGGTGCCCAGGGATCTGCCCAGAGGTTTGCAGTAGACCATGCGGTAAGGCAGTGGAGATGCACCCAAGGCTCCATCCTGGGGCTTTTGCTGGCTGGAGGAGGGTAAGAAAACCCTGTTGGAGACCTGGAGCCTGGTCTCGAGGTGTGGGGATGTGCTCTGCCTGGCTCCTGGGCACTGTGAGCCCTTGCTCTGTGCCGGCTTTGTCTCTCACTATGCTTTTGTGTGGATTCCATAATTTAGTGGCTCGGTGGATCTGGAAAGGGACTGCATGCTGTGTTTCCATCCTGTCGGGTGTACAGAGCCTGCCCTGCACACATTTAGGAAGCTAAGGACTTTCCTAATTGCAGTGTGAACAAACTGAGGTGGGCTCCTGTCTGTCGAGCTGTCAGGGAGGACAAGTCGGCGGTGAGTCAGAGGCAGAGATGTGGAAACGATGCAGGAGAAAGGGAATAGTCAGTGCTGGGCTTAATCACAGGGGCCAGGTGCTTTACATTTTTTACAACAAAACTCCGTTTCCTCCAGGTGCCTGAGGCTAAGTGCAGCCTGGATGGTGCTGCCGGAGCTCATCAGGCTGACTTGCCTGCCAGGCACCATCTTTCACAGCACCGGGCGGTGGCACCTGGGCACCCGGCACCTTTGCACCCATGGCACCTAATTCAGGGCAAGTCCTCGCTGTGCACTCACTCCTGGAGCATTGAGGTGTGCGATGTGGTCGTCACCCAGCTCCAGCCTCACCCTGGAAGCTGTTTGCATTGTTATCATCATCATTATTATTTTGCTCTTATTTATTGTTATCGTCAGCGATGTGAGTCCTTCACTGGTGGAAAGGAGGGGATTTTTTTTTTCCTTGTGGAGGGATCCGGGAATCCTCCACCTACCTGTGTAGTATTTATTATGCCTGGTTAAAATCATTAAAGCCTTTGTTAGTGGAGCTGACTGACAAGGGGAGTAGATTAATATTAGAACACCCTGTCAAAAGTGGTGAAAAGGCTGGATTGATTTTATAGGAAGTTTAGTCGGAGTTGTGTGTAAAGCCCTTGGGGGGTTACACTGCAGTGAATCAATCTCCTATATTAGCAAGTCCCTCTGGGAATAGTCAACCTCACTGTTTATTACAGCCAAGGCTGCATATAATAGGGCCGGTAGTCGCTCGCCTCCCTCTCCCTCTCTCCTTTCTCGTAATTTGCTACTTGCGATTGCAGCCACACAGAGGAGCACCTGAGATAAACAAAGGTGCCCAGGGGCTCTGGTGGCAGCAGAGCGGGCGAGGAGGGGACGAGCAGAGACCCCTGCAGCCGGCCGGGTCCCCTCCTGCTGGCTCAGCACCACTGCCTGCTGGGGGCAGCTCCAGCGCTCCCCCCGGGGCTGCTTTCAGCCTGGGGAGCCCTCATGTCTTATTTGCCGTGGCAGCTTTCATCCTGGTGCCCAGGTAACAAAAAGAATACACACAGGACGCTCTCACGGAAAGCTTTTGCAAACAGCAATTAACAGAATCCCCCAACGCGTGTGTTGGGGGAGTTTTTGGCAACCCTGGAGCAAAGAAAAAAGCCTGCAGTCGAGAGCCGGATACCCGTGTGCTTGGCTGGGCCTAATTGCATCCAATTACTGCTGTATGGAAATGAGCAGAGGGGCAGCAAGGACGTTGTGGGCCCCACGCTGTAAGGCTGTGAGTTGGGGCTGGGGGTGCAGACCCCCAAACCCCCCCAGCAGCTGCAGCCCCAGCTCCTGAGCTGCTGTCCCAGCCCCTGGTGGCACAGCAGTGTGGCCACATCCAGATGTCAGCCTGTTTTTTTCAGAGGAACGTACGCCGGGTGGCACGAGCTAAACCATCAGGAACTAACTGGAGCCTTTTCGGACTCTGGAGACGTACCACATTTAGCCGAAAGAGGTTAAAAGGCAATTGTGCTGTGTAAAGAGACCATGAAATAAAAGCTCCTGCTTTACTGGCTCTGGAGCTGGCTGGGCTGCGAGCACAAAATGAGTTCTCTTTTCTCACTGCCAGTGCTGTAAGCTTTCCTGGGGATGCTGGACATTGCTGTGGGTTATCATCAGGACAAGGCCCTGCCACTGGAACGTGGTGCCCTGATGGGGGCAGCCACCCCCCTGCACCCCAGCGCTGCTGCCCTGCTCTCCTGGGCAGCTCCGAGTGATTGAGATGTTGGTGACACCGAGTGACCTAGCCTTCAGTTCTGCTGCTCCCTTTTGGATATTTTTCTTCCAAATTCTCCCTCAATGGTCCAGGAGGACCTGCTGCATGCTGCAGAGTTTGGTTTCCGTGCTCCATTACCTCCTGGGCTCTCTTCTGAGCCCACTGAAGCTGCAGATGGAGGCGGTGCATTGCGCGTGGGGGAGCCAGAGGTGTGCACCCGCTGCGGGGCTGGGCTCAGCCCAGCACCTACAAAGAGAGGGAAACAAAGAAAAAAACTAACCTGCTGCCCAGACTGCTCTGAGCCCACAACCAGAGGGAGTTTTTGGCCCCCTTCCCATCCAGTGCAGCAGGGACAGAGCCTGGGATGTTCACCTGAGGGTTGAAAACGAGCTGCTGGTTCCTCCCAGATGCGCATGCACTTGCGTCTGTGCGCCCCTTTGTGCAGTGCCTAATAAGCCGTATAATTCTCATTCTTCCTCTCCCTCTGTCACTTACTTCACTTTTTATCTGCACAACTGAAATTCCTTCCTGCTCCCCCCATCCTCTTCTTTCACTAATGCTCTTCACTTTCAAATGCTAATAATCTGCAGCACTAAAAGGCTTAGAAGTGGTTCTAGATTGTTTGATCTTTGGCCTGTGATCTACTTTCATCTTTCAGCTTTCAAACGTTACTTTGGATTTACTTTAACCTGTTAACATGCTTGGTATTCACAGGCATGCACTTCTGGTGAGTTTTGCATCAGATCCACCCGGGTTCTAATGAGGGGGGGGAAGGTTACGCTTTGCTCACCAACTTTTCCGAGTGGACATTGGCTCCTCTGTTGTAGCACACACAGCGGGGACTTTTTTTCCCCTTCTCAGGCTTCGGTGTTCCCAGGGGTGCTGACCTGAGGACGGGGATGTAAGGTTACCTGCGGCGAGGGTGAAGCTGGGGACGGTGACAGGCTCAGACCCTGCGGGCACCAGCCTGGACCCCGAGGCAGGGATGTGGCGGGGGGGAATCGCGCTCCTCCTTCCCCTTTATAATCACACCTCTAGAGAGAACGGCTTTGAAAGCTCTGCTTTGTTCAAAAGCTCCTCGGGACTGTCTCGTCCTCAGTTAGTGTTGGATGTCTGAGCAGCGGCAGAGACATCAGAGCCTTCCCGAAGCTGTTATAACTTAATCTGGCAGGCCAGCCAGCTCTGCCACCTCTTGCCAAGAGAGGAAGCCAGAGCACTAGATGATTTTCAGACATTAGTGACTGCAATAAATCAGAGAGCAGAAGTTATTGAGTGCCTCGCTAATGGACATTTCCTTCTAGAGCATCCCCTCTTGGGCTTCGTGGGGGCACTGAGACTGCTTTCACAGGGGGAAGCCAAAGGGAGCCGTGCCAAGGCGCGCTCTCCGCTGGAAAATGTGCTGAGGAAGGAGGCTGCAAGGTGAGAGGGAGGCACTGTCTCCAGCTGGTTCGCAGCAGAAGCTGCACGGCGCCGGTGCAGGGGCTCCTGCTGTTCTCCTGCAGGGGGACAGACCTCCCCCAGGCCGGTGCAGAAAGCCGTATTTTGGGAGCGGTGCAAAACGTGAGCCACCGAGGGGAGGTCGTTGTTTCAGGTCAACCTGAATATGACTTTAAATGCAGAAGGGAGACGTGAGGCAGTCTGAAAGTTGGGTGGGATTTAAATAGTGTTGAAGAAAACGGTGCATTTGAGCTGAGATGGTGCGTTCAGCCTCAGAGCCAAGCTACCTGGTGCCCCTGGAGCGCTCAGCACCGAGGGATGGGGGTGCCTGAGCTGCTCACCCCTCGCCTCCGCTGTGGAAGCCCAAGCTGAAGCAATTCGCTCCTCAAGGAGAAGCAAACTGTTTAATATTTAAACCCAAACAGCCCAGGCAAAGCTGCTTTTCTTTTTTATTTATTCTTTTAATTAAATGCCAATTAGAAAGGAAGAGAGAGGAAAAAAAAGGCATTAAACACTTAAATACACACTACACCCAGGTTGCTCAAAGTTGTTACGAGCTAATTAGCTACTTAAGTGATCATTTGAAATTCCATATCAAACAATTCATAATCTGCCCCCAAACCAGCAGCTATCAGTGAGAAGCCCTCAGCCGTGCACATGGGGGCTTGGCGGTGCCCGCCCTGTACCCGCGGTGCCAGACACGCCGTGTCCTTGGAGGTTCCCCTGCACCTCCACAAGTCTCACGCTGGAAGCTTTGGGGCTGGGCAGGACACAGGTTTCTGCTCAGAACTGTGGCCAGAAGAAGGGGTTGTTGTCAGGTGCTCTGGCAGTGCTTTGGTACGAGGTTGCACACTTGGGAAGTCGCCGTGCCCTTGCATGGTGTTTGTGCTGCTGCAGTGCTGCTGTTTGCCACTCTCCCTGCTGTCTTCCCAACCTGACAAGCTGAGATCATCCATTTCAGGCCATTTTAACCCAAGATGAGGCTTGTGGGAAGCATTATGGTGATGTTCCCCACTCCCCAAGAAGGGGCTCAGCTCTTGTGTGGCTTGCCCAGGATGGCAAAGCTTCCTCTGCGTTCCCCTTCCATGGGAAAGCGCTGCCCATCGGGCTGCACCCCGCCCGTCTGCACCACCAGGTCCCCCTGACCCCCCCTTATCTGTCCCCACTGCATCCCCCTGAACCCCCACATCTGCCCCCACTGCGAGGCTGCAGGGCAGGACCCGAGCACCCCGGGTTACGAGGGCTGATCTGCGAGCCCCATCCGCAGCCCGCAGCAGAGCAGCACGTAAAGAACAATGCGTTAATTAGAGGCAGCGATTCAGCCTCCACCATAATCAATTCCGGCAGTGCCTGCGCTGCCTGCACATCCGACAGCCTCTTCCACTCCCTTCTGCAAGATTTATTAATTATCAATCCTGGCTCCTGCGTGGCATGCAGAGGAGAGCGGGAGCGAGGAGGTGGTGTCGGCGGCAGAGATCTGAGAGACGTCTGAAGGGGATTGGCAGGTGTGGGAGACAGCCTGCCTCCTGGGGACTCACCTGGTGATCTTTTTCCTCCCTTTCTCCTGCTTTTCTTTTAATTAGCAGAATGAGCCCGCTGCTCTGCCTGGACAGCAGAGAGGAGTGAGCCAGCCGGGCTGTGCGGCAGCCCTGGGGGGGGTCCGGCCGTGCTGGGGCTGGTGCCTGCAGCATCCCCCTGCTCCCCACACCCCAACCCGAGCCATGGCCCCGTCCCCCCCCCAGGCCAAGGATACTGCGAGATCCGCTCATAGACTGCAGTCCATAGGGACCGAACAGCCGTAAGCCCAAATAAATCTATTTACAGGAAAAATGTGGCGATTTCCAAGCTCACTGGCCGATGCCTGTTGGTGACCTTGTGATTTTATTTCTCTTTTCTTTCTGGGTGGTGCAGGGGAAGCCACGTTTCCGAGGCTTGCAGCAGCAGCTGGAGGAGGCGGGAGAGGAGGGTTCGGGGCACTGCTGGCTGCTCAGCCTCGCAGCCCAGGCCGTGCCCCTTGCCAGGCTAAGCTGGTTTTCATAATGTTGGAGGAAAAAAGGCAGAAACACTTCTATTTAATGCCCATTCACCCTCCCCCTGCTCTCCTGCCCACCTGCCTGCAGGAGGGGCTCTGGGCTGGGGGCTGCCCAGCCTCTGTGCCCCCCTCCCAGCTCCCCAGGCAGAGCACACGGTGCTGGCACGGGGAGCAGGGGGCACGGCTATTTATTAGCATTAGGGCTAATAGGAAAGCATCCTTGCAAACTTCAGCCCTCATTTGCTGGCTACACAAGAGCAAAACAAAGCGAGTGAGAGACTGTGAAGGGGGAGTATGTTCTAAATGTGCCTGGGAGGATTCAAAGACTCTTTAAAGTGGGGATGTGGTCTGGGGAAGAGTCTATTTTCAATGCAGATTTGTTTTTGTTTGAATTAGTTGATGCTTATTTTAAGCTCCTGTGGCACATTGTCATCTCCGGATTGCTTGTTTTCCTGTGCCAAAGTCAACCTCAATTTTTTCCCTCCTTTCAAGAGGAACCCGTGATTTTCCCTCTGTTGCACAGTGCATCAGATGGGCAGGACAGACCCAGCTTCTCTAAGTAATGCTGACAAGATTACCTACTGATTGCCGGAGTAAAATGTTGCATTTCAACTAAAGCCGGGGCAGATGGCGGAGGAAAACGCTGGAAACTTGTCTCTAATTTCTAGTGAAGGACAAACCTCTCCGGGACCGGCGGCTCGCTCTGGATAAGCCTGCAAAGTTTGGCTGCTCTGCCGAGGCTCATCCCAAGCATCCACAGCCATGCAGGCGGTGCTGCTGCTGCTGTCCTGATGCAGGACCGGGGGCAAATCCATCTCCTACGGGGTGCAGATGCCCTGCTGCCCTTCCCTGCACACCTGGCTCATTCCCAGCCCACAAGAGCTAACCCAGAGGCACCCCAATGTGTTTTTCTTCAGGAAATTGTAAATGCTCGCTTTGTGCCTGCACAAAAGGCACCGGCGGGTTTAAGCCTAGCCTGGGACTGCCTCCAGGGCTATCCTGTGTAGCCCGGGAACGTTTTGCCTTTCATGTTGTACCAGGAGACTTGGAATTTGAGCCCTTGTGAAGCAGCGGCAGGTGGTGCTCATCCTCCTGGGAGGCTCGATGCCTTCTCAGAGGAGAACAAGCACGGCTCCCCCTGTCCCAGGACGTCCCTGGGCAGGCAGGAGGGCTGGGGGCACTGGGTCCAGCCATGCAAGGAGAAAGTGAGGGGGGCAAGACAGATGGAGGGGAGAGCTCCTGAGCACATGGACGAGGATCTCTGCCGACAGCCCCTTTCAGCAGAGGAGGACCTGGGGTTTGCACAAGCGAGGGGCACCCCTGCAGGGAGCATCAGCACCGAACCAGCAGGAGGATGCTCCCCATGTCAAGTTGTGCCTGCTGGCTGCCTGGAAGCCTCTCCCATCCCCAGGAGCTGGTGGTGCTGTGGCATTGACTTCATCCAGAGCTCATGTGGGGCAGCCCAGATCCGCAGACACCAACAGAACCCAGTCCAAAAGATCAAATATTAGCTAATTAGCTAATTAGTTTCTTATTAGCGGCTAATGGCCAGGAACTTCTCTGGCATCTGTTGCCATCGCTGGCAGGTCGGGCGGCTGCTGAGGAAGCGGGATCCGAAGGAGAGCTCCAAATGAAGCCTGGAGCATCCGTGCTGCTCCGCCGCCCCTCGCGCCCCTCCTGCCCCTCCGTGGCGCCTCTGCTCTTGTTTTTGTGCTCTGTGCCAGTGTCTTTGAAGATGGGCACTTAATCCATTATTTAAGGCAATAAATAAAGCTCTTGACCTTTCCTTGAGCTTGCCCCAAGACACTCCTCTGCTCCTACGTTTGGGCTGCTCGCTGGTGTCATTACTTAGGCTGCTCTGTTTCCCATTGTGCTTTCATCCTGCCAGATTTTCCCTTCATTAATCACCATCGAAAAGGTCCAGGGCGCAGGAGCAGCTCCCCCCCTGGTGCCGGGGAGGAGGACAGGCTCCGAGCCCACGCTCACCCCGCGTGTCCCTGCTCTGCTCAGCCCCCGGGACTCCTCCTGGCCTTCAGCTAGAAGCTGCTTGGTCCCTGGCTGCTGTCAGCCCCTCAGATTTCAGCTCAATCATTTCTGAAATGTGGAGCTGTAGCTAAAACGCCTTTGCAGTTTAACAGGATTTTTCACAGCCTACACAGCAGAGGCTAGAGTTGCTCATCACCTGCTGTTGTAATCTGCACCGTTAAGCCTTCAGCTCTATACAGAAAGCTTAACTTTGCTTTGCTTATTTGCCTTCTCTATTCCCTCGCATCCGGCAGCCATATTTCAGGGAGGAAAAGTTAATCTTTTTTTCCCCTGACTCCAGACAAAGGCATTTCAAATGAGATACAAATTGCTGATGAAATTATTGGCTTTGAGCCTCATCTGGGAAAGGCCCACTTAAAAGAGTCCCTGCTAAAGGGAAGAAAGTCATTTCCCAAGGCTCTGACTGAGCGCTGTCGGGGATGAAGCCGCCTTTTTTTCTGCCAGGGGCCAGGACTTTCTCCTGCAGCCACGCTGCCACCATGGTGGGCGCTGCGACTTCCCTCGCTACTGTCACACGTCGTCAGAAACAGCCAAAAAAACAGGCAACAAGGTTGTTCTGGCCTTTGAGGTGTAGCAGCTTGGCCAGGCTGTGCCCTGCACCATCAGGGAACGCTGCCTGCTGCTGACGGCACCCAAAAGCTCCTCTGGGGCTGAGCCCAGAAAGGTTCCCAGTGGAAAAAGCCCAGGTTCAAGTGCTGGACTGTCTCACACAGGCTGAGGTCTGTGTTGCTTTTTCCCCCCAGGTCTGCCTGAGATGCCTTGTCCTCATTGCACCGTGTTTCATCGTCTTCTCCAGGGCACTGCTACAGAAACAAGAAATAGCAGAAGACAGGAACGGTGCCAGAGCTGGTGGAGGGGCCCTGCCCGAGGAAGGAGCAGCTGTTGGGGGGCACCTGAGCACCTGCCTGCCTTGTGCCTCCATCTCACCCCCTAAAAACCTGAGCATCAGCGGCATAAATAGCTCCCCTGGCTTCCCTCCTGCAAGGCTCAATGGGCATGGCTGCATTGGCCCAGGCCTTCTGACTGGGGCTGTGGAGGGCTCTCACTTCGTTAGGGCTCATTATAAATGCCGTCCTCCAAGATAAATGAGCAGCGTAACGTGGAGGTATGCTCTCTGGCGAAACTGAAAAGTTATAGATGTTAGCTTTGTAGCTTTATGAAAATGCTTTCTTATGGAACCTGAAATGACCAAGATTAGATTGAATTAATATGTACAGGGTTTTTTACAAAGATTTCTAGCACAAGCATTTCATAAAAATGCAAATCTCAGCTGAGATTTATAATTAGTAGAGATATGTGTGGAGCTAACAAATTATCGGCGGAGCCAAGCTCTCTGCAGATAATTGCATGGGGCTGTGCTCGGCATCTGATGGCAGCCTCCGGACCCCGCTGCCAGCCGCCAGCTCGGAGGTGCTCCGGGCACCACGGCACTCGTGGTGAGCTGGAGCTCAGTCGTACAGCGGGTTACAGGGGATAAAATGAGGCACCCGGAGCATCCCTGACAACCCTCCCTGGGAGGAAGAGGAGGAGGCAGGATGAAGACCTCATGATCCGTTTGTTCTCAGCAGGGCAGCAACTCCAACACCTCCATGTGCTCCTTTTCCTCCTCAACCACAGAGGTTTCCATGGGTGCAGGATCAGGATCCTGCTGTGCTGGGAGCTGCCAGCTGATCCGAGAGGAGAAGAGCTGCTGTGGTCCAAGAAGTGGTGGCCCCATCCTCTCTGTGACCGTTCAGAAGATGTGAATTTGTACATACTGCTTTTTCTACCTTCTTCTGTCTTCCTGAGTCTTCCCAAGTCCTTGCTACTACGTGAGAACCTGCAAAGGAAAGTTGCTACAAGTGCTGTGAAGTTTTTGGGGGAGAGGTGAAGCGGGGAAGGGCAGGAAGCCTTTGCAGCAGCGCTGCTTCTCTTCCAGGCAGCCCTCGGCACGTCAAGCTGCGAGGTTTCATTTCTCTTCCATTCTGCCTCTGCCATTTCTTCTGGAGGCCAGAAGGAGACCCTGGTGGAATATTAACTCCGTGGTCGCTGAGCGATTATTTATTACAATCATTGCTTTCGGGTCCTTTGACTCGTCTCTGTTAATTAGACTGCAGGGTGTAATAAACGTGATGGAAAGCACCCAGGCAGGGTTTGGCAGGGGCTGGGGCTGCTGCAGCTCGCGGAGGAGCCGCTGCGCTGGGCGCAGCCACCACGGCCAGCCTGAGCTCTGACCTCACCCGTCCAGCAGAAGGGCAGAGAGGCTTACGGAGCTGAAATCGTATTAAAACAGAGACCTGGCACTGAGCTGTGTGACCCTGCTGGAAATGAGTTCAGGAACTGTGGGCCAGGTGCTGCCAGCGGCCACCCTGCGCGCTTCCAGCCCCGCTCGGGGGCTGTGTGGCAGCGATGTCCCCAATCCCACAGGGCGAAAATGGGACACCAGCACAGGACGTCTGCAGGGAGCTCTTTGTAAAAGCAACCTGTCTGTTTTAAGTGTCAGGGCTCCTCTCTTCCAGTCTCTGCTTTGTGTTTTCTCAATGCTTGGGCTCAGGCCATTGAAGCCTGGCACGGAGCTGCTCACGGAGCTGCTGTGCCCCGCGTTACCCATCCTGGCTCTCATCCAGGGGCTGGTCCCCAGGAGATGAACGGTGCCACGTGCATCCCAGGGCATCACGGGGCGGGTGGCAGCTGGGCCTGAGGCAGAGCTAACCTGCCCCTGCGCTGCACTGTAGAAATATTAAGAAAGGCAGGAGAAATGAGCTCATTTAAATGGCATTTGAATCCCCACCAGGGACTCCTGCAGAAGCAGACTGAACAGTACGGCTGAGCGCCGTGTTGAGAGCTGCGAGCGGCTCTACTCCAACAGTTATTTAAAATTTAAACCCACAAATTAAACAGGTTCTTTTTTTATGATGATAGAGTCCACGTCCCCAGTCCCCAAACACCTCTCCCTCCACACGACAGTGCCGCAGGGGCTGATGCCGGCTTAAATACCACTGTTCACCAGCAGCGTGCGGGGTCCAGCGTGCTCGCTGCCTCCCCATGCAGCCCTGCTGGTCGTGTGTCCCTGCCTCTGGCCAGGTGCTTCCAGGCTGGGTTTTGCTGGGGCTGAGAGGGGCGAAGCTGCCACCTTCCCCTCACCTCCCCCAGGCCCTGACGGTGCCCTGGAGAGCCGAGGGGAGCTGCAGTCTCGGCTGACTCCTGCTTTGAGTTTTATCTTCAGTTTTTAAATTATGACTGAAAGCAAAGCCATGGTGAGAGGAGAAGAAGTCCTGACATTTGTGTCACAAAAGGAAACCTTTCTTTCTCTTTATTCTTTAAAGGCTGGCTTTTCTCCCGCAGCTACCTGTTGCTCTGAATGGATTCAGTGAAAGGAAGCTTTGGGATGGCAACGCTGAAATTCTGAGCCCTGCAAGAAGAGCAGACGTAATGGTAGAGAAATGTACGTGTCTTACAAAACAGAAAAATTAGGCATCATTAAGAGCAGCAAGCTTCCCTCTTTGCAATGTAATGATGCAAAGCAGTCTCCATAGCACAGCTTTCCCTCCAACACAGCAGGGCGAAGCAGAGTCCTGCTCTGGCTCTGAAGTCATGGGGGGGAGGAGGAATTTTTCCATTGATACTTTTTCCTGCAGAAGAGAGGGGCTTTAATTAAATAAACGGGCTGATGAAATGCGTCTTTGTCCCTCAGAAGTTCACAGGTTTGCCTCAGAAACGCAAGCACTGCTGAATACTTTCTTAATCTACAGCATTCCAGGTCCAGTAGCCCCTGGACAATATTTTTAGGCTGTCAGGGTTGTCTTTGGCAAATTTGTGCCAGTTCCTCATTTTGTTCTCGTTGTTTTAGGAGGCACACAGCTTCCCTCTTGCTGTCCCATCCCCTGGGAAGAGGCTCCTGACCTCTGGGGTCCAGCACCGGGGAGGTTTGTGTTTGTTGAGCGGTGCAAGAACTTAGGGCAAAAGGGAGAGAGGCAGAAAGAAAGGGAAAGAAAAGGTATTTTATTTCAGCGCAAAGCTGTCCACTTTAAATACCCTTTTTATTACATTATCTGCATAGTAATACTAATAATAGATCTTGCTGGCAGTTCTAATGAGACTGGAGAGTATAAAGTTTCTAATAAAGTTAATTGTTGCCTTTAATATTCTCATACATTTATACATGGTAAATCTTTAAAGAAGAAAACACCCATTTCTTTCCTGCTAAGCATCCAGGACTGGTCCCTTCCTTGATGGGCCAAAAGCACGTGCTTGGTGGGCTCCCTTCCCCGACAGCACAATGCATAAAAACCACCACAGCTCTGGGGATGGGGTTGAACCGTGCCTTAGTTCCCTGCTTCAGTGGGTTTGTTTGCTCTGTGTAATTCTCCAGGGATTGGTGAAAGCAGGTAGAAACAGTGCGATAACGTTATTTTGTTTTCCTCCAGTGTTTTACTTCGGCTTTTTGTTTCCAAAAAAACCCTTCTTATTTAAGCCATTTAGTAGGGAGTAGATTGAAAAGCGTTACAAACCACGCAGGACCTTTCTCAGGCTGAAATTAAACATTTGAAGTCCATCTGAAGTTGAGTTTCTTGCGCCAATAGAAAAATCCCTGGCGGCTCGCCCTGCTGCCCCCGGCGTGCATTTTGCTTGGGCTCAGGGGTGCCTGGGGAATGCAGCACCCTCCTGCCAGCCCCGCTGTCAGCGCTGGAAGCTGTGCCCCCAGCTCTTCCCTGTTCCCTCCTCCTCCTCCTCTCCTTCCCCTAACCTGCTGCTCCAGCGGCGGGTAATTTATAGGAGATGCCGCCATTGGCTGTGCCTGAATTCATAACAGGTGGTTGGATAATTAAGTGTGCTTTATGCACACAACACTGTTTTGCTCAATGTAATTGCAGATTCCATATAAATAATTCACATGGAATTATTATACTGAGGACATCGCCCGCCTCCTCATAATTTGCTTAACTGAAATAGGCTCTTTCATCACCAGCAGTGATTTGCTTTAAGACCATGTACACAGCATCCTTTACAGGCTGACTTCGGTGGAGATTACTGTAAATTTAATTAAGTTATGCAAATTGTTTGTCCACTACGTGGTGAAAGGGTGTAAGGCCACTGGACCGTGCAGACCAAGGGCAGTGAACGGGAGCAGGAAGCCTGACGCCTTTTGAAGGAAGTGGATGATTATTAATAATAAAATAATAACAGTGACCAACGTGTAAGCGGTGCCTTTCCTCCTGACAGTGGCTCTTGTGATTTTTACTAAGGCTTCTAGGACATCACAGCCGAAATTTACACACACGTGGGCAGGGGAGCAGGGAGGGAGGTGACAGCTTTCCTCCGCTGCGGTGCGGCTGAGATGGGGAAGGAGCCGCCCAGCACCAGCGGGGAGGTTGCCCACCAGGTAGCCCTGGGCAGGGAGCACCAGCAGGGCAGTGCTGTGGCAAGCTGTGCAAGCCAGCACCACAGCAGGGCCACACCAGGACCCAACACCTTGCACCTGCATGGCCACGAGCATCCCACTCCCCCGGCACCCCGCTCCTCTGCGGGATGCCTCTCCTCCCAGCGAGATGCCACCAAGGCTGGCGACTGGGATGAGAACCGGAGCACAAGGTGACCTTATCTCGTGGCAGCAGGCAGGGCAGGGCATGGCGGGGCAGCCCCCCCGAGGCCGGGGAGCCCCCGGCACAGCCCTCTCCGGGTTGCGGTTTCCATGGCGTGGCGGCTGCTGGCGCTGATAAGGAGGACAAAGCCTCCTGGGCCTGATCCGCAGAGCCAGGCTCCTGCTGCTGGCGAGAGGCAGGGCCAGCTCCCTGCCTCCTGCCTCCGCAGCCCGCTGCCCCTCTTTTTATGAGAAATTACGGCGAAAACTCGCAGCTGCTACAGCAACATTAGCCTCTGCACCTCTGTCCTTGGGACCAGGGGCCCCGCGGGGATGATGGATGCGTGGCCACCGCTTCCTGGGTGCTGGCCGGGCGCTGGAGGCCGTTGTTTTATTGCCTCAGCCCTGATCCTTCCTCACAGCCTCCCCTCCTCTCCCCCAGCCGCTGTGCCACCGTAAAACATCCTGCTCAGGGGGCAGGCTGGAGGGCTCCTGGCAGCACGGGGAGTGATTTAGAGGTGCTGCTGCCTGGCCATGCAGAGGCTGCCTCCCCAGCCCGAGCAGGGACACGGGCTCCTGCTCCTCACGCTGATTTACGGGGCCAGACCCCTCCACGCACGGGCAGGGAGGCTGGATGGTGGCTGACATCTGCAGCGCCGTCATGCCCTGAGAGCATCAGCTGGAGCTTGCTCCTGACTTGCCAACCTGTGCAGCACGGTGACAAGCGCGGAAGACAAAAGGATGCCACAGCAGGTGATGCTGCCGCTGTTCCTTGGCTGGAAAAAATACCCGGGGCTTATGTACAGCACAGCGCTGGCAGTTGGGGAGGTCACAGGGGAGCAGGTTTCACACTCCTGGCTCAGGGCTGGCAATGCAGCTGGATCACACGTTCAGGAGGAGCAAGCGAGGGCTGGGTAAGCACAGGGGGATGCACAGCGTGTCCCTGTCCCCATCCTACCCCCACCGCTAGCTCAGCCCTGTCCCAGTGCAGCTCAGGGGATCCTTCTCTCACCCCTTGGCTGCAGCTCTGCCACATTCAGGGCTGCCCCAAAATAAGGACGGACAGTCCTGGTCTGCTCCAACCAGGTGGGGGGCATCTGGTGGCCCCCGGGACCTGTTCCTAGCCACAGCCCATGGAAATGGTCCCCCAGGACTGCGCCCGGACCCACTCTGGTGCCCGCGGCCCCTGTCCCCTGCCAGGGCTGAGGTCCCTGCACTGCTCCCAGCCAGGGGCTCACCCCCTCCCAGCCCCGGGCACACTCTTGTCATTAGGATTTCTGTGTTCCTAATGAGCACTTGATGAGCTGTCGATTATTCATAAACACGGGAGCACACACTCACCCTCTGCACGCACCCTGGGCTCGCGGCGTCACCCGCGGGCTGCAGGCACCTCCTGGTGAAGCAGCACCGAGAGCTCGCCCCTCCTGCCTAGGGATACGGAATCACTCCAGAAACATTAATTAAGAATGAGTCTACACAACCCCCCTGGGCAGCCGATTGTACGATTATCCCCATCCCACATACAAGGAGGCTCAGGCACAGACAGACTGAGCGACCTATCCAAGGTCACTCAGCATGTCAGTGACAGAGATGGATTTAGAACCAAGGGGGTGGCTTTAAAAAAAATCTCCTTATCTGTATTTTTTATTGCATTTAAAAATAAAACACAGTTATTAAATATCATAATACCCATAATACATTTTAGACTTGAACTGCATCCAGAGATGCTAAATGATAAATATAGCTATTATCAGAATAAGCACTCAGTGAAATTGATAGCTAGCATTTGTTTAATGAGTGTGTATATATACACATAGAGAGGCACACATGTGCGTGGAGGGGGGGAGACTTTTCGTGTGAATACAGAAAGGGAAATTCTGATGTAATAGCCTTTTGTCAACTCACGGGACCAAATGTCCCAGGAAATCATTAAGACAGGGACCAGTTCCTGAGCACTTGGCGCTGGCAGCAGCGGGCTGCACACAGCCACATCTCCAGGAGCAGGCAGCTGGCGTCAGCGCTGCCCTCCCCGCAGGGCCAGGGGGAATCCCACCTCCCTGCCTGCTCAGTAAGCAGCTCGGGGGGGAATCCTAACGTCTGCTGAAGTGTTTGCAGTACAGCATCGAACTGGGGGTGCTGGGGGTGCCCCTCCTGGTGCCTGGGCTCCTGCTCCACGAGGCACCTGCCTGGCACCTGCGTGCACCAGCTCCTCCCGTGGCACCCAGCACCTCTGTGTGCATGCTTTAAAGCAAGCTCCGCTGCCCCTGTAGAGAAAGTGTTAAATTCTGTCATGCTAAAGGTCACAGAGAGACCCAATAAACGCCCAGTTTAACAATGGGGAGAAATATTTTTATCGGTAACCTTTTGAGAAGCTAGTTTAATTGCATGCTAACAGTCACTCACTGAGGGCTGCTAGGAGCTACACGGAAGGCAAATGACAACAGTTTGAAGGGTCGTTAAAGTTTGACTCTGGGCTTTGCTGAGTTTGACGGGGTGGGTTCCCTGCACGGCTGGCATGTCTCCAGCGCTGCGGGAGCATCCCTGCAGCCCGGCTGGTGGCACAGGGTGGCAGCCAGGAGCCACCACTCCTGCAACACAAGGGCGGGTGTAGAAAGGGTGGTGGGGTGGAGGGTTTTTCAGAGGACCCTGCTGAGTTTGGGGATGTCAGAGCTTTTCTTCTCGGTGCCTTTTTGTATGCAGAATGCAAGAGCTGCGGTGCACAGGGTGGGGAGGATACCCCACATGCATCCCCCAGCATGGACCCAGCTCATTGAGGGGTTGGAGCAGAGCACCTGGTGGGGCCGGGCAGCTGCAGCCCATCACGGGGAGCCTTTAAATTGGTGCTGCCCAGGACAGCTTACTTCTGGCAGGAGAGCTGAGAGGAACAAGAGCTCCTTTTTGCAGGGCTTAAAGAGGTACTGACGCCACCGTCAGTGGCAGAGGGGCACAGAAGGCACTTCCCTGCCGCTTTCTCAGCCCTTGCCAGCAGAGACAAAGACCAGGAGGGTCCCAAGGCCTGTTTGGAAGCCAGGAGGCTACCACCAGGAGACTCCCTCCAGGTACGTGTGGCATCTTTTCAGCCTGGTATATGTGCAACAATCACTGCAACTCATTCTCCTACTGCTGCTTCTGTTGGCTGTGGAAATGCTGCAGGCCCCTGCAAGGGCACTGCCCCCAAGTGTCCCCGTGTCCTGCTGGTGGCAGGTGGCTGGTCACTGTGCCCCAGGGCAGAGCTGTAGCCTGCGGGGCTTGTAGTGATGGCTTCAATATTTCCCTGCTCTCTGTTCCCGGGGAGAGAGGCTGCAGCTCTGCTAAGTGGCCGAAGGACTTGGAGCTGGCCTAGGTGAAAGTGATAATGGTGATAATTGAGGGCTAATTATCTGCTGCTGCTGGCAGTGGGCCACCAGGTGTCCTGGCTGGCACAAAGGCAGAGGCCAAGAGCAGTTCCCCCACTGAGGTCTGGCAGAGGAGAGCTGCAGTTTTGCTGCTCTTTCTGGGAGGGTTTTCTCCAAATCTGCTCAGTGACCTCCCAGAGGTGTCCTGTGCCAGGGAAGGAGGTGGTGCTCAGGATGTCTTTGGGGGCAGGAAAAAAAGAGAAAACGCTGCTTTCAGTTCAGATTGCTTCCTTGTGGTTCTATTACTTTGGCTCAGCTGAGCAAATCATCTAGCTTTGAATTCACTCCACAAGTATTTCTGCTCAGGTGGTGCCCCCTTCTCTAACCCCTAATGATACCTCTGATGTCGTGCTTAAGCAGGTTGTTTCCCCTCTATAGACTTTTAATCTCATAATTTCCCAAACTGCTCTATCTTTATCTTTCTAGGCTCTAAATCTCGATTTCCATCCCATCTATAATGGCTTGTTTCAGTTGTTGAGCGCTTACAATGCAGAAATTAATGTCTCCATTTTAATAGCTGTAGGGAAAGTTAGGTGCCAGGTCTGCTGCAGTGCAGCAGGGTATCTCAGGGTACCTGGGTGCGAGTTTGGCCGCAGGGTGTGGGAGCTGCACACCCACTGCAGAGCCTGCTGTTCTCTCCCCAAGGGCTGGGTGTTTGCTCTCTGATTATTTAGGCTCCCCTCCAGTACTTGGCCTAAGCGAGTTGTCAAGAGATTCAGGGAAGTATCTTTCAAAGCAGGCTTCACCTGGAGGAAGCACTTGTGGGAAGGGCTTTGTATGATGACAATTAAAACTGGTACCATGGGAGGAGCAGAAAGGGGTCAGGACTCAGTTCATGCCTACAGCTGCTGGACCTGAGTTGGGGACAGCGAAGCTGAGTCAAAGCAGAGCCTGTATTTAAGGGTGCTGAGCACCCTTAGACCCTGTGGATTTGGGCAGGCGTAGGCACTGGATGAAGCTCTGGACCTGAGCACCTCAGAGAGGCACACTGCATGGTTTAGGTCGGACACACGGCCAAGGAGTGCTTGTGATAGCCAGAATAGCCCTGCGTGTGCTGTGGTAGCCAGAGCTGCTCGATACTAATGGCACTGCTTCCTGCAGGCATTACAAGGCTTCATTAATAAGTGTCAGGATCTGCTGCTGAAGGGGATGGAGTTGTGTACAGCGCTGTTACAACTGCACGAAATGAAACGGGAAATTAAACTTAGGGTGACAGCAGTTGCTGGAGGAAGCAGTCCCCATGGGAAGCCTGGGGGACCTGGGGAAACATCTGCTAAGAGGACAGGACTGAGCGCTTTGGGGATGTCAGATGAGCTATGTGGGGCTGGAAGGGGATAACACAAAGTTATCCCTGTCCTAAGATGTGTGGTTTCACCTGGCTGCACATGGAGCTGGTGGTGTGGTGTGGGGAGCAGCTCTGTGGCAGCCCTGGGGCTGACCCGGGAGAGCCAGCCTGTCTCCTTGTCCATCCGCAGTCCTGCCCCCGTGTTATTTATTTATGTTTTAGCAGAAGCATAATATAAATAAAGCACCACCATAAAAATGTCAGGAAAAGTTCAAACCTATTCATTATCCATTTCACTCGGATTAAAATTTCCATCAAGGCTGCTTGGTTTTGACTTGAGTTGCTTTCCTTTTAATGAGCTTGATATAGAAGGTAAAAGATGCTAATTCATCCTTACATCTCTATCATCTCTCAGCTTTTGCTATATAAAGCATCAAGGTCGCATTCTGGGGAAATGTCTTTTTACCAAAGGTGCCATAATAATAATGAAGAAGCAATTTGTTTCAGCAAACTGCCTACAGTAATGAAGCTTAATTATAACCGTGTTATTAATACTGCTGCTTAAGGTAATTCACTTCTGAGCGGGGCGCAGAACAGTAAACTATAATTTAAACAAGAATCGAGACCTAATTTAAATCATCAGATCTGCTATGGAGAAAGGCAAACAGAATGACTGTGATCGCACGCAGTTTGGAGTTTTCCCTCTGCTTGGCTTCCTGCGAGCGTCTGGAGCTGGGAAGGCTGCTGCAGAATGTCTCGGTGGTTTTCTCATCACCGTGCTCCTTTCTAAGGGCTGAAAAGGAACAGAAAGCAAACCTTCCCTCTCTGCTTGGGGGGACACGCTAATGCTTAGGCACCTGCAGGCAGCTTTCAACTGCTACCGACCTCTAATGTCTGTATAACAACAACAAAAACCTGTATGCTCTAAAAGAAAGGTGATATATACACTTATATGCCTGCAAAAAAAGCTTTCAGGGAAGCCCCAAATGGTCCCCAGAAGCTCTCCCCTGCCAGGCATGGCTTTGCCCTCAAGTGCCTGGCCTCGACTCGCTGTGGTTTGTGGGATGTATGAAATGCCACTGTTAGCAAAGACTGATTTTTCTTCTGCTCCATGTTTTTGGGCATTCAGCTGGAGCTCTGGGACTCTTGCAAGTCCCTGGTGCCTCTCATCATGCTGCTGCTTCCCCTCCTGCCTGTCCCCATCTGCGTTCCTCCACTCTGGGTCTTTATTTTCCAGGCTGAGCATCTCCATCCAGGTCCCTCCTGTCTAAGCCCATTCCCTGCCTGTCAGACACGACTGTTTCATGAACTTCACTTTCAGATGCTCTTCCCTTCTTTCAGCCCTCTGCTTCCCCCCTTTTCCATGACAAGCTCCTTTCCCTTCTCACTGCTGTAAGCCCTGACATCCTCCTTCCCCAAATCCCTCATTATTTCGGTTTCTTCCCCGTGCTCTCTCACCTCAAAGCCTCCTTTCCACACCCACTCCCTCCAGCAGCCATCTCTGCCTCTGCTTCAGCACTCAGACGGTTACACAGGCTCCGTGAAGCCAAGTGACATGAAATGATATTTCTACGTTGCCAGTAATGACGTTTCCTTGCAAACCCCTCTTCAATAGCAAATAGTGAAAACCACAACAGCCTCTTTCCCTTCCCGTTCCTCTTCAGGGCTCGCTGTCAAATCTGTATTTCCAAATCCTAGCATGCAAAATTCATTCATCCGTACAGGGTTCAGGCGGCTCAGTTTGCTTGGTGATTACACCGAGGTTCACCCTTGTCACTGCCAGGTGTGGCTCTGTTCGAAATCGTGACAGAGGAGAGGAGGTGTGGAGGAGAAGTAAATACGCCGAGCGTTTCTTCTCGGGAAGGGGAAAAAAGCCTCCATCACGGTTCCACTTGACTGCAGCCTCCTGCGGGCTGTTTCGTCTCATATTATCTAAGCTCCAAGGGGGTGTCCAATTTGAGGAACAATAACTATAAAGTCATTTACGGTCCCCCGCCGAGGCACAGCACATGATAGCCTGTGTAAGGCAGCAAACAGACGTGATGGCCTCTTCTGCGGAGCTGCTCTGGGCAGTGGTGCAGGTGGGGTGGGCGCTCCGTGGTGTGGGACAGGCAGACCCCCCTCCAGCACCAGGGGCTGGCAGCTCACCTCGCCTGCTCCCAGGCCAGCAGTGACACGAGGGTGATGCTTCAGCCCCTGCTGTGCTGGCAGCAAGGTCATTGGGGCTGGCACAGTGCTGAGGTGCGGGTGCCGCCTGTGTGCTGCAGAGCTGGCCGAGGCTAGCATTTTCCTTCCAATTTCCTACTGTCATGCGGACGTCCGTGCAGCTCCACGGAGGTTAAAACAGCTGTGATGAGCCCATTCAAGCTGCTCCTGCCTGTGGAGCTGGTTCAAGAGCAGGAAATTGGATGGAAGAAGATAGCTCAGTGCCCTACCTTCGGAAACGTGCTGGAGCGCTTGCTGCTTGTGAGCAGTGTTACAGGGACCCCAGGACGGGATCAGAGGGAGAGGAGAGAAGCAGTACAGGGTCAGGGGGCTGCCCAGTGCTCCTGGGGTGACTGCGTCATGGACCAGGAGCTGTCTGTGTGCAGGGACCTGGCTCCATCCTGCTGCTGCTGTTTGTAAATGTCCTCCCTTTCCTGCAAAGCTCCTCTTCACTGCCTCGTCCTGATGCTTTCAGTGTTTTTCTACTTGTGTGTGATGTTTATGAATTTTTTGAGGACCGTGACAAAGCTAAATTAATGAATGGAAGCGATGTTTTCCTGGCACTTGAACTCAGTCCTGCTCCTCTTGGTTATTGCCCCAGCTCAGCTTCCAACAGCCTGAAATCAGGGGGTGGCAGACTCACAAACCTCCCTGCAAACACCTCCCAGGCTGAAGGACAGACTCCTACCTGTGTCCTCAGGGGGTCTCCTTGTGGTTGGGGTGTGCCTAACAAATCTTTTCCTCGGGAGGTTTTCAGCATAATTTGCAGGGTGAACCGCCTGTTTTAATGCTTCTCACCACAAGGCTTTTTGCCAGCCTTGCTGGGAGGCTGGGGCTGCAGCCCTTGCCCTGGGACAGTGGTGTACCTCTGCCCACACCACAAAAAGTGTGATGTACTTGTGTCACGTCGAGTTTGGCCCTGGCTGTGAGCAGCAGCAGTGACTTTGTCACCCCCAAAAGGCTGACACAGGTGGGGCAAGAAATTATCCAGGTCCTTTATCCCCCAGCGCTCCTGCTTGTGGATGCTCTTCCTTTCCTCAGCCTTGCTTCTAGTTGTTTTTTTTTTTTTTCCGTGGGGGTATCTGTGCTGCTGTGGGGTTGCTGCTGGTCCCCTCGGTGCTGGTGGCTTCTGCTGGGCTCACTCGTCCCGGCTGCCTGCTCTGCCGGCACACTT